GTCATTATTGTTATTTAAAAAAAGTCAAGAGACCGAGGAAAAAAGAATACTTTCGCAAATCTGTACAATATTATAGAAATTTGGGAGGGTTAAAAAGACGAAATGTACATAACATGGCAACGAGACTCGGAAACAATCATCAAGTTGGCTTGAAACGAATCATATGTGGCAGTGCAAGTATTATCTTGTCATAATGGGTTACTTATATATGGCATAGTCCGGTACCTAGTCACAGATTTCCAACAAATTATAAATGTACATGCCCATACGAAATCAATTAATTCAAATGAAATATTGTCTGAAGGTAAAATTCAGCAAAATAATATTTTCATTTTTCGAAACTCTTTATTCGATTTTACACTAGAACAGACATATAAATTCAGTCATGAGAGCAAGCTGAATGAAAATTGTACTGGTATGAGTTGCCGTGGCAATATATGAAATTACTTTTCGACGGGTCAATGAATAAATCATTCAGACCTCTCTTACGACAACCACCAAATTAATCATCACATAATGTATTTATTATACAGTAGTCCTACATAGTGGCAAGAGTGCTATCTGTCAACTCCCTTCTGACAAATTTAAAGAGAAAATATTAAAAACATGCAAATTTAGAACAATATCAAGAGACTATTGTATTGTGCATGAGTGCCCGTGATGTCGGTTTGTCTGTGCCAGAAACTCCAAGAAACCAAAAGCCATTGGAATCTTACACTAACATAAGGTCTTGTCAAAATAAGAAACAGATGAAAAGTAACAGAGGACGTTGTGACTCTGGAACAACTAGCAAGTCATTTATAAATTTTACATTGTTATCAAAGAAGCAAGCTTTGTGTCGCCTGAGTGGAATCACAGTTTAGCAGATGAAATGATCAATATATGTTTTGTGCTTGGCAAATAATTTAGAAGTAATATTACAGACCACCAAGAAGGAACAATAACTTCAGTGTGTAGCAGACAAAAGATCACGCGTTAATGTAGACATAGAGGGCGCTGATAGAGAATATTAAAAATGAGCCTCCGCAAAGAAAAAATCATTGGTACCATATACACTTTGGGGGGTAAACCAGTGTTGATGGGACGGGGAGTAGGGGCATTATTTGGATCTCTTTTTATAGAGGTATTAAATTTGTTTTTCCATTCATAGGGTAAAATATTATGCACAACATTGAGTCTATTTTGGAGTACATATTCAGAACAGATGTTCAGTTTATTAACAAATATTGAACATTGTAGTTGTAGACAGTCGTGTATATACAATAGCTAAATGTCTTAAAAAAATGGTTTCTTACGTTGTGGATGGACAGTTAATAGTACACCAAGTGTATCCATAGCATTGATATCATTGATTTTAGAATTGATGTGAGGAGATGTCCAATACTGCACAAAAAACCTGAGTTGAATTCTGGCAGACAGCATATATTGGTGTTGGTATGTAAGCAGGCGACTGGTAGGTGAGACGTAGCCAACCATATTGAACAAGTGAAACTGAGAAAGTTGTAGTAATAATAAAGATACTTTCAAGGCGTATTCAAGCCTCATGGCATTAAAGAACATTGGTAAATTAATAAGTTTTTGTCCACCTATTTCCAATATTGGATTTAGTAGTCTGAACTTGAAAGGCAAACACAGGATTTTAGTTTACTTATATTTGTGTGAGAAGAGTAAAAACCTAACTATTAGGGCAGAAAAAATAATGCCATCCTATGATACGAAGTACCAGCAAATTTGAACTATGACGTATATTCAAAATTAAATGCATTTAAAGACGAGCTTCGTATAAGCAAAATGTGCAGTTTGTTAACGACTTGATCTGTGAGTACATAAGCCAATATCTTATCCATCTTTAGTTTTAAGTTTACTACTCTCATGAAGTCACAGCATATTAAATATATTTGGGAAAAATATATTTATTTTGATTCTATTTCTATTTATTAACAAAATAACAACTTCCATACAATAATATTGTCTAACTGGATTGGTTTCGTTGAATCACGTGATACAGAAACAAAATTGAAATGGCGGGAAAATCTCCCACTTTTATCAACCTTTTAAGTGCGCATCATAGCGTGGATCGTGATACACTGGATTTCATTTTCTGTAGGTAGGTGTATTCAAAGTACATTCCTAAGGTTCCTAATTCTTAACTATTTCTTGGACTTGTGACTGGCGCAAATCTTCCCATAACTCCCTTCACATTGCTCACCATATCTTTGGAAATTATATACTTTATTTAGATATTGTTTGGGTATTAACAAAAGTGCTAACATTTGAGAGAAGAAAAAGGGGCACCCTTCATATAATATGTTTGTCTAGTCGCCCAAATAAACATACGATGGCGATTTTAATATGTTTGGAATACAAATGTTAGACGTGCACACGTGTCTCGTTTGTTTTTCAAGAAAATAAAATTATGTGAGTTTATAAAGCCAGGTTATTTAAAAATGAACAAGATACTGTATGCAAGTCTATAAAAAACATAGGAACCCCCGAAATTGAATTATTGAATCACTAATAACGTGTATGCGCTGTTCGAAACACTCTTGTCCGTTATTTACTATGACTACCAAATACCAAACCCAAATACTGAGATATTAAATGGGGCAAATATGGTTTAAGACGCACTTGGCAACTATATTACTTTGTATTTAGATCTGAGCTCCTTTGTTAAGTACAGCACCAAATATTAAGTTGGTGTCAAGGGAGGGAACAACAAACACGCCTTTACGAGGATTACAGAAAATTATTTATGTTATTACATATTAAGTTTTGAGGGATACTAGATCCAATGCAAAATTCCTATGCAAAATTTGATTTTCCCGCTACTCCACTTTTAACACTTTGGCAACTCTATTGACTTTGACTATTGATTTAGCTCTTGAGCTAACTGATAACAGACGTTCCAAACGTGTACAGAATGGCCATGAGCAGACATTTTCATGTGTAGGTCGAGCGATTTTTTTTGTTCACAAAATAGATATAGTTTTCAATGTTTCGAAATATTACATCACATGCGAATTACGGGGATGAAGAAAAGCATATGTGATTTTAAATTTCTTTGAACTGTAACTAAAAAAATGATACATTTTTAAATATTTTTATTTCACAGAAATAAATAAACATCGTTAATGCCAAAAAGATGTTGTTGATGCTGAACTTTATAACCTGAAAGTGTTTATTGCAAAGAATCTAACAAAATAATGGTGAGCCTGGAGCTAATCACTGACTGATATATTTTGAATAATGTAAATGTGTTATTTTTTAAACGTTTCTTTTCAAGTGGTTAG